ATCTCGGCTCACTGCAAGCTCCGCCTCCTGGGTTCACACCATTCTCCTGCCTCAGCCTCCTGAGTAGCTGGGACTACAGGCACCTGCCACCACGCTTGGCTAATTTTTTGTATTTTTAGTAGAGATGAGGTTTCACTATGTTAGCCAGGATGGTCTCGATCACCTGACCTCATGATCCACCCGCCTCAGCCTCCCAGAGTGCTGGGATTACAGGCATGAGCCACCGTGCCCAGCATTTTTCTTTTTTTTTTGGTCTTGTTGAGACAGGGTCTAGCTCTCTCACCCAGGCTGGAGTGCAGAGCTTACTGCAGCCTTCAACTCCTGGGCTCAAGTGATCCTCCCACCTCAGCCTCTCGAGTAGCTCAGACTATAGGCATGTGCCACCACACCTGGCTAATGTTTTTTGTTTTTGTTTTTGAGACGGAATCTTCCTCTGTCGCCCAGGCTGGAGTGCAGTGGCACAATCTCGGCTCGGCTCACTGCAACCTCCGTCTCCCGGGTTCAAGCAATTCTTCCTCAGCCTCCTGAGTAACTGGGACTATAGGTGCACGCCACCACGCCCAGCTAATTTTTAAAAATATTTTTAGTAGAGATGGGGTTTCACCATATTGACCAGGCTGGTCTGGAACTCCTGACCTCTTGATCCACCTGCCTCAGCATCCCAAAGTGCTGGGATTACAGGCGTCAGCCACCACACCCAGCCATTGGTTTTTATTTGAGTAGAGGCAAGGTCTTGCTATTGTCCAGGCTGTTCTCTAACTCCTGACCTCAAGTGATCCTCCCACCTTGGCCTGCCAGAGTGCTGGGATTACAAGTGTGAGCCAACACACTTGGCCTGTACTCCAATTTTTTTTGATGAGGTGGCTGAGGTTCAGGGAGATGAAGAAACAGCCTAAGGTCACACAACTGATACAGAGCTAGGAGTTGAACTCCTGATTCCTGATGATTACCAAAACCATCATCTTTTACTTGGAATGGTATAAGGTGATTAACACAGACCTTGGGTTGTTAGAGTGTGCCTGTGTGTCACTGGGCTATAAGATACCTGAAGGGTATCTCTCCCTGTCCCCTGTGCTACCCTTAATCCATTCTAGAGGGTGGTTTGATTTAAAATGTCTCACCATCTCTCAGTTACTTTTTACTCTATTTCTAACTGTTCTAATGTAGATGTCACTCTCTATATAGGGTTCAAACAATATTCCCTTTCAGCGAGGCAGAATTGTGGGCCATTTGTAAAAGGAATCCCTAAAAATGGTAGCATTTGTGTGCATTTCTCAGGCAGCACAAGTTGGAGGAAGCCCTGCTCTTTTCGGGTCAGTTCATGGATGCTTTGCAGGCCTTGGTTGACTGGTTATACAAGGTGGAGCCACAGCTGGCTGAGGACCAACCCGTGCACGGGGACCTCGACCTCGTCATGAACCTCATGGATGCACACAAGGTAAGGGCGAGGTCTGGGCTATGTTGGAGTGCAGTGCCCTAGGATCTTCTACATGTGATTGCCTCTGCCCTTCTTTCTAGGGGAGAAAGAGAGCCTGACAGTTGCTTTGTGTGTTCAAACAAACTGTTGCTGAGATTCTGCATTAGTCACAGAATTTACCAAAATTGGTTTGATTCAGATTTGGCAATGTGTAAACTTCACTTCAAGGTTGCCCCTCTTCCTGTTTGTTTCAGTTGAGTCACAAAATGGATTTAAATTCCAACGGAAACCCGTAAGATATCCATTTCCACTGACTCCTAAAATGGAAATGAGTGATTTTTTTTAAACCACTTCTGAACCTAACAGTCTTAACACCATGCACGCCAATATTTAACATCATCTCTACCTGTCATGTTGGATTATGTAATATCCTCCTGTTTCAGCACAAGCATTTAACTTTACCTTGAAATTACAACAGATTCTTGTTATGTGCAGAGCAGTTATGTTTTTATTTCCCATAATTCTGGAAACATTAGTATAGTGATTACCATTTTATGGATGAAGAAACTGGGCCTTAAGCAACTTTTCAAAATTATGTGTCTCCCAAATGCCTGAGCTAGCATTTAGAGCCACATTTTCTGGTTGTTTTTTTTCTTTTTTTTTTTCATGAGATTTGGTCTCGCCATGTTGCCCAGACTGGTCTTGAACTCCTGGGCTCAAGCAATCCTCTCATCTTGGCATCCCAAAATGCTGGGATTGCAGGCATGAGCCACTGCGCCTGGCCTGGTTGTTTTTTCTTATACATTGCTCTGCCTCCCTCTATGCATAAAAGACACATGATTAGAACCTACCAAGAAAATTATTATTTCCCAGTGGTTTCTTGGACTCAAAACATTCCTCAAACAAACTAATTCTCCTATTTTCTTTTCTAGGTTTTCCAGAAGGAACTGGGAAAGCGAACAGGAACCGTTCAGGTCCTGAAGCGGTCAGGCCGTGAGCTGATTGAGAATAGTCGAGATGACACCACTTGGGTAAAAGGGCAGCTCCAGGAACTGAGCACTCGCTGGGACACTGTCTGTAAACTCTCTGTTTCCAAACAAAGCCGGCTTGAGCAGGCCTTGAAACAGGTAAGAGACATTTGCTGTCCCAACCCAAGGGACAGATCTGAGTGGGTTTATTTTGTTTTTCTTTTACTAGAATCTGTTCCAGTCAGTCTTGAATTAAGTGTAACAGAGTTGAAAATTGATACTCTGAATGTTCTATAAAACTTTTAACATTCATTTTGAGAAATAATGAATTCAGCTGATTTTCAAAGATCTACAAATGAAAGATAACCTTTGTGGAGTTTTGATGAGGCCATGAAATGTCTGAATGAACACTGGACCCTTTCCCTGGCATGTCCCAGTGTCTAGGTCCTTGGCTGCTGAGAGAGGTTGAATCTTTTGTGCTTGGTTATTTCAGGCGGAAGTGTTTCGGGACACAGTTCACATGCTGTTGGAGTGGCTTTCTGAAGCAGAGCAAACGCTTCGCTTTCGGGGAGCACTTCCTGATGACACAGAGGCCCTGCAGTCTCTCATTGACACCCATAAGGTAATTCAGCCTTGCGGTTTGGTGACCTCATGCTACCTACCACCTTGAGGGCTGCCTACCACTAAATGAAAGCAACTTTTTCTTGGAATTATCAGAACTCACATGAGAAGGAACAAAACCAGAGTGGCCCTAGCTTATAGCAGGAATGAAAGGGAAATAGCTGGTGGGTTTTTTGACATCTTAAACATTAACATTCATTCTTAGAAAAGTAATATATGTTGATTGTAACAAGTTTTTAAAACATGGTATTATATAAAGAAAAACGTGGACTATTTCATCTTCTTTCCTCCTCACCTGCATATTCCTTTGTTTGCCTTTCCTTATGTTACCAGCTTTAGGCCCTGATATGATCCCCCAGAACCACTTACCAAGCTGTAGAGTATGGTGCAGTGTCTGGGGTCTCAGTCTATCCTAAAGAGGTGGGAAATGTTGTTTCCCTTTTTAAGTTTTTATTTTATCCACTCAGAGATTTTAATCATGGTTTTATCATTACATTCTGTTATGGGTATTTTTTAAATATTATGATTTTTATAACTATAATTATATTTTTCCAATACAAATATGTTTACCAACATGAAATGAATAAATGAAAAATGGGATTAAAAAAGAAAGAAACTAACTCGAATAGGAAAAAGGGGGCATACCTCTGTGTGTCCTATTCTTGTTGTCATCTCTACCAGAGAAAGTCATTCTTGTGTAAACCCCTCACCTTCCCACATCTTTTAGAATTAAAATGCCATAAATAACTAAGTACAGGCTTTTAGAGGTCTGTGTCAACACATGGAGGAAAAAGAAAACATTGAAATTTATCCCCCCTCAATGTAAACTAACAGTGCTGCTAATGTAGACTTTTTAAGTATTTGTTTTAAAATCTTTTTTGTTTAGGAATTCATGAAGAAAGTAGAAGAAAAGCGAGTGGACGTTAACTCAGCAGTAGCCATGGGAGAAGTCATCCTGGCTGTCTGCCACCCCGATTGCATCACAACCATCAAACACTGGATCACCATCATCCGAGCTCGCTTTGAGGAGGTGAGTCCCTGGTTCAGAGGAGGACCACACACGCCCAGTAAACTATTACTATAGTATAGTATTTTTCTCCTAGGTAAGGAATCTTTCACTCACTGTGAATATCTCAGCAAAAATTAAGTTAACATTTTAGTAAAGACTGTTTTCTTGGTAATGTGTGGCAACGGGGAGTAGTAGTGTTGGCATAGTGCTATGTTAATAGTGACTTTCAGTGGACATGTTGTGTGTAGTGTCCCTTCCTGGGAAGTCCTGTGTTAATAGGATGTAGAGCTGACCCTGGAACAATGTGTGTTTCAACTGCACAGGTCCACTTATATGCGGTTATTGTTCAGTAAATACAGTCAGCCCTCCATATTGGTTGGGGTCCACATTCACAGCCAGACGTGGATAGAAAATACAGTATTCACGGGAAGCGAAGCCCATGTGTACAGAGGGCAGACTTTTGCAGGTTCCACAAAACCAATTACAGACTTTGAGTATGCATGGATTTTAGTATCGGCAGGTGGTACTGGGACCAGTTCCCTGTGGATACCAAGGAACAACTATACTAGATTTGCTTTCAAGAGAGCTGATATTTTATTCCAGCTCTTATCCCAGTTGTCACTGGGGTAACAGTGAAGTCTCTTGACTGTTTGGGTGCTCTCTCCTCTAAAAAGTCATTGGGTTCGCCGGGAGCAGTGGATCACGCCTGTAATCCTAGAACTTTGGGAGGCTGAGGCAGGTGGATTACCTGAACTCAGGAGTTCAAGACAAGCCTGGGCAACATGGTGAAACCCGTCTCTACAAAAATACAAAAAATTAGCCGGGCATGGTGGCGCAAGTCTGTAATCCCAGTTACTTGGGAGGCTGAAGCAGGAGAATCACTTGAACCCAGGAGGCAGAGGTTGCAGTGAGCCGAGTTTGTGCCACTGCGCTCCAGTCTGGGTGACAGAGCAAGAGTCTGTCTCCAAAAAAATAAACAAAAATAAAAAGTCATTGTGAAAATCAGATGAAAAAGGGCTTTGGAAACAAAGAGGTATGCTTGACTGAAAGAGACCATGGTTTCCTTCTTTTTCCACAGGTCCTGACATGGGCTAAGCAGCACCAGCAGCGTCTTGAAACGGCCTTGTCAGAACTGGTGGCTAATGCTGAGCTCCTGGAAGAACTTCTGGCGTGGATCCAGTGGGCTGAGACCACCCTCATTCAGCGGGATCAGGAGCCAATCCCGCAGAACATTGACCGAGTTAAAGCCCTTATCGCTGAGCATCAGGTGTCTTAACCTCACTGTGTGATCACTGGTGTTTTCCATGTTGGGCATGGATACCATCTCTGTTGCCCTGTATATTTGTTTTTAAATTGCTGCTTAACACATTACCACAGACTTAGCATCTTAAAACAACACATACTTACTTACCTCATAGTTTCTGTGCTTCAGTCACCTGGGCATGAGTTGACTAGGTCCTCTTCCTGTAGTCTCCCCAGGCAGAAATCAGGGTGTCAGCTAGTACTATAGTCTGATCTGGAGTTCAGGGTCCTCTTTTAGGCTCACTCAGGTTGTTGGCAGAATCCAGGTCCTGGTGGATGTAGGACTGAGGTCTCTAACTTTCTTGCTGGCTCTCAGCTAGGAGTTGCTCTTACCTCCTAGAGGCCCCCTCAGGTCTTAGCCACACAGCCAGCTGGAGAAACTGTCCAAGGTCCTATATGGAGTCTTGAAATGTAATGGAGAATGAAATGTAATTATGAGAGTGACTGTTCTATCATTTGCCCACACTCAAGGGAGGGGGATTACATAGAGTGTGCATACAGGAGTGGGAATCTTGGGGGCCTTCTTAGAAGTCTGCCTGCCACAGCCTGTTTTTATTGACCATCATCTGAGCCAAGGGCCCACTGGTCCCCATTATACCTAGTTCAGAAAGCTCTCTCACATGAACCCAGTGATCAGTGAAGGTGCACATCAGACTAAACTGAATGGAGGAAAGCTCAGGTGAGCCATCTTCATAATATATCCTTAAGAGGCAAATACTGTTTTTAACCATAATCATTTATACTGAATTCAAGTGTGAATCTTGATTAGTTATACTGTAGACTGTATGGTCTTTTTAGTTTATATAAACAATTACCCCTGCAAGTGAGAACTCACTATACAGATGGTCCCTGACTTGCAGTCTTTCAACTTTATGATGGTTCAAAGGTTATACGTATTCAGTAGAAACCATACAATTCGAGGCCAGGTGCAGTGGCACACACCTGTAATCCCAGCACTTTCGGAGGCTGAGGGGGGCAGATCACTTGAGGTCAGGAGTTTGAGACCAGCCTAGCCAACATGGTGAAACTCTATCTCTACTAAAAATATAAAAATTAGTTGGGTGTGGTTGTGGTTGTGATTGCCTGTAATCCCAGCTACTCTAGCGGCTGAGGCAGGAGAATCACTTGAACCAGGGACGTAGAGGTTGCAGTGAGCTGAGATCGCACCACTGCACTCCAGCCTGGGTGACAGAGCAAGACTCCGTCTCAAAAACAAAACAAAATAAAAAATACACTTTGAGTACCCATACAACCATTCTTTCACTTTGATTACATGAGATAGTCAACACTTTATTATAAAATAGGGTCTGTGTTAGATGATTTTGCCTAACTGTAGACTAACGTGTTTTGAGCATGTTTAAGGTTGACCAGGCTAAGCTACGATGTTCCATATTTTAGGTGTGTTATATTTTCAGCTTAACGATGGGTTTGCCAGAATGTAACTTCGTCATAAATCGAGGAGCACCTATCCTTCCTGTGGGATGTACCTTCTCTCTGAGAGATTATCTTCTTCCTATCCAGTTCCTCTCTTTTCTGTTTTCCCCTCTCTCCTCTATGTCTTCAGTCTCTCCCTGTTTATTCTTTTCTCTAAAGCTTCCAGACATGTCCTTCCAACCCAGTGTTCCCCTCAAGCTACCACTGTGTTGCCTCCCTCCTTTTTCGGCTACGCTTCTTGTTCCCTGTCTCATCTCCATTTTTCCCATCACTCCCCAGGTCCCTGTGGTCTGGCTGACACTGTTCTGGTCACATTCTACTGGCTAAATTCAACAGAGGTTTTTCAGTCTTTATTTTGTTTGACATGTGACATAGCTGGCTCTTCATCCCTTCCCAAAACTTTCCTTTTGACTTCTGTGTCCTTTAATCTTTGTGTTTTCCTCTGATCTCTCTGACTGTTCCTTTTTAGTCTTTTTAGCTGGTTCCTCTTCCCTGCCTATGCATTAATGTTGTTCCCTGACGTCTCATTTGTGATGCTCTCACACTGCTGAGATTTATCTGGTCTAACAGCTTTAGCTATTACCTATAAAGCTTCTGCATCTTTTTCTTTTTTTTTTTTCTTTTTATTTTTGGTGGGTACATAGTAGGTGTATATAGGGTATATGGGATATTTTGATACAAGCACAAAATGTGTAATAGTCACATCAGAGTAAATGGGGTATCTATCATCTCAACCATTTATCCTTTATGCTACAAACCAATTACACTCTTTTAGTTATTTTAAAATGTACAATTAAATTATTGTTGACTATAGTCATTCTATTGTGCTATCAAATACTAGATCTTATTAATTCTTTCTATTTTTTTGTACCCATTAACCATCCCCATGTCTCCCACCAAACTCACACTACCCTTCCCAGCCTGTGGTAGCCATCATTCTACTATCTATCTCCATCAGTTCAATTGTTTTAATTTTTTTTTTATTATGATAAGTTCTAGGGTACATGTGCACAACGTGCAGGTTTGTTACATATGTATACATGTGCCATGTTGGTGAGCTGCACCCATCAACTCATCATTTATGCCAGGTATATCTCCTAATGCTATCCCTCCCTCCACCCCCTCCCCACAATAGGACCCAGTGTGTGATGCTCCCCTTCCTGTGTCCAAGTGATGTCATTGTTCAGTTCCCACCTGTGAGTGAGAACATGCAGTGTTTGTTTTTCTGTTTTTGCAATAGTTTGCTGAGAATGATGGTTTCCAGCTGCATCCATGTCCCTACAAAGGACATGAACTCATCCTTTTTTATGGCTGCATAGTATTCCGTGGTGTATATGTGCCACATTTTCTTAATCCAGTCTGTCACTGATGGACATTTGGGTTGATTCCAAGTCTTTGCTATTGTGAATAGTGCTGCAATAAACATATGTGTGTATGTGTCTTTATAGTAGCATGATTTATAATCCTTTGGGTATATCCCCAGTAATGAGATGGCTGGGTCAAATGGTATTTCTAGTTCTAGATCCTTGAGGAATCGCCACACTGTTTTCCACAGTGGTTGAACTAGTTTACAGTCCCACCAACAGTGTAAAAGTGTTCCTATTTTTCCACATCCTCTCCAGCACCTGTTGTTTCCTGATTTTTTAATGATCGCCATTCTAACTGGTGTGAGATGGTATCTCATTGTGGTTTTGATTTGCATTTCTCTGATGGCCAGTGATGATGAGCGTTTTTTCATGTGTCTGTTGGCTGTCTTTGCATCTTTTTCATCTCCAGCACCATCATCTCCTAAAGTCCAGACATACAGTAAACTAGAAGCCATTCTAAAATTCCACTTCATCTTTGCCTCCTTGCCTGACACTATTTGTCCATTCCAAATCTGCCTCCCCTTTCCTCATTCAGAAGGCTGTGATGTCTGGAGTTCCTTCTTTTCCTCTTCCCCCTACATCTAGCCACTCACCAGGGCTTGTCAGTCCCAGTTTCAAAATATCTCTTGGCTCCATCTTCCCAGCCCTGGCTCCAACCCTCACCGTGTTTTGCCTCAGTTACTGCAATGGTTTCTTAACCTGTCTTCTCACTGCTAGGCACTCCCTATCCCACACTTCCCCCCACCCCCATATCACTCCACCTTTTACACTGAAGCCAGAGTGATAGCTGTAAAGCATAGGTCGGATCATCCCTCTTACCTGGATCGAAATCTTTCAGCTGCCCCCCATTGCTCTCAGAATAAATGGCCAACCCTTAGCCTGACACAGAAGCCTTTTGTGATCTGTCTCCTGCCTGCCTCTCCAACCCTGCCTCTTGCCATTCCTCTGATTGCATCCCCTGCCCAGCCAGTGAGTGGAGGGGTCCTGGTCACAGCACTGTCAGGCATCCCTGTCTCTGTTTAGGTTGCACCCTCTTCCAGGACTGCCTTCCTACCATTTGTTGACTATTTCTTCATTGCTCAGTGTGTCAGTCCATTTGCATTGCTCTAAAGGAATTCCTGAGACTGGGTAATTTATAAAGAAAACAGGTTTATTTTGGCTTACGGTTCTGCAGGCTGTACAGGAAGCATGGTGCCAATATCTGCTTCTGGTGAAGGCCTCAGGAAGCTTAGAATCATGGTGGAAGGCAAAGGGGAGCCAGCATGTTACATGGCAAGAGAGGGAAAGAGAGAAAGAGGAGGAGATAGCAGGCTCCTTTTAAACAGCCACCTCTCATGTGAACTAACAGCAAGACCTCACTCATTACCATGGGGAGGGCACCAAGGCCATTCATGAGGAATTTGCCCCCATAACTCAGTCACGTCCCATTAGACCCCACCTCCAACATTGGAAATCACATTTCAACACGAGATTTGGAGGGGACAACTATCCAAACTACATAACATACCTCAGTAACTCAACTCAGGCACTGGCCTCCAGGCAGACTTTCCTACCACCACAAGCCATAAAGTACCCATCCTAGCTCTTCTTTTGCCCCCATAGGAGTAAAAATACAATTTTTAACTCTTTTTCATATTTTTTGTGTTTAACAGACGTTTATGGAGGAGATGACTCGCAAACAGCCTGATGTGGACCGGGTCACCAAGACATACAAAAGGAAAAATATAGAGCCTACTCACGCGCCTTTCATAGAGAAATCCCGCAGCGGAGGCAGTATGTTTCCAGCCCCCTCTGTTAGGATGCTTCATTCCTGCTAATTGAAGATGAGCACTTTCCAAATGCCTGTCAAAAAAAAATTGTATTCCATTTTCAAAAACCGTATTGGTTTTGAACCAAAATCTTTTGTTTTTGAAACTCACTTTTCTTACATTGACAGACAGTAGCTATACTCCATATTCTTGGATTGGTATGAAATTATGAGGTGGTTAAGCTTATTCTTTAACAGTGGCCTTTCCATTGTTTTGGTTATCAGCGCTAGCTGTTTACATTTGACTTGCACTAATTCAATCAGCAAAACAGCTCCTACAGAATATGTTGCTTTTTTAGTTGAGTTAATGTGTCATCAGCTCACTAAGGTGGGACAGAATTGCTTGGAGATATGTAGGCGGCAGGTAAGTATGTGCTGGGAGGATCAATACTTTTGGAATTAGTATACCTCCGTATCTAAATATTGCCAAGTCCCGTATTTCTTTTCTCAGTTACTGACTGGATATTATTCTAAAGATCTCCTAAGTTTATACATACAGCTATTTCTCCTTGTGTGCTAACCAGCTGTTCTAATCTTGTGTTTATTTTTCCTTTTAGGGAAATCCTTAAGTCAGCCGACCCCTCCTCCCATGCCAATCCTTTCACAATCTGAAGCAAAAAACCCACGGATCAACCAGCTTTCTGCCCGCTGGCAGCAGGTGTGGCTCTTAGCACTGGAGCGGCAAAGGAAGCTGAACGACGCCTTGGATCGGCTGGAGGAGGTAATGCCCTGCTGAGTGGCCTTCCCTGAAACAAAGTGATTTTTTCAATCAAAACACAGCCCTTCTGTGGCTCTCTAAATGTGAACCGTGTGTCCTAACTGACTTCTTCACAAATAGAAACAGACCTATACCAAGCCAGTACCCATTCTTTGAGGCCCCTGAATGAGAAAAGACACATAAGAAAACCATTCATGACAAAGTAGGCCAAAGCTTCTAGGTGTGGAAAGCAAGAAAACAGCCAGTCCATAGTGAGGGCCAGGACGTGATCTGCCTCAGCATCTTGCTGTGGTTGGGAATCAGGAACAGAACTTTGGAAATTTGTCTCCAGATATGTAGCAGAGCACAAAAATGACCCTTGTTGAGCCTTTCATGTAAAAACAGATGCTACACAATTATGAAATAGGAGTAATTTTTAATGATTTTGTTATTTTATTAGTTTTCACTTGATCATGAAAAGCAACTCTATTTTGAAGTGTCATTACCCAGTAAAAAAAAAAATATATAGTATTGTACTTCCTAGTTTCTAAAACAAGCCTCTAATATATTTTGTGTTTTTTTATTTGTGCATATCAAAGCAGCTATGCCTGGAAGTGAGTGTTCTGTGTTTTATTTATTTTTTCCTTAGGTCAGTTGACTTTTAAGCTTATTGGGTTCTTGGTGCTTTTTTTCCCCCCATTCCTTCTAACTTTGGAGTTTGAAAGACCAAGGGGAAACTGCTGCACTGTTTAAGTCATTTTGAGTGTATATCATTAACATAGACTTAAGTAGCTGAAAATTGTCTTGCCCACTGCATAGGCCTGCTGTTTTCCATCAAGGCCAAATATTTAACATGGAGGTCAGATGGGAAATTTGCTCTCTGGTGCCATTCCAAAGAAACATGCTTGGATACAACACTGGGTTCCCAATGCTTCCATCCAGAACTCGGATTTTCTCATTGAAATCTCAGAAGATAGTGGTACACGAGCCTCCTGATGTGAGCCCTATGTGTGATTATAATGCCTTTCAAAACAACATAACTGAGGAGTGCTAAGGATCTCCCTTCTGGGTTAGAATCCATTCCCTTGCACCTAAGAGAGTGATCCTTCGAAAAGCCCAAAGGGAAAGCAAGGCTGGCTTCACCCATTCTCATTCTATGTGCTCCATATTTTCCATGGTGGTTCAGTTATTGTTTCTCTTGCTATTCCATTATACCACAGCTCGTGTAAATAGTCATGGCTTTAAGTGAAGGAGCCAGATTGTGCCTTCACAAAAGAAGCAGACACATAGATTTCATTGTTGGTGCCCCCTGGAAGCATGGCTTTACTGAATGTCTGAAAGTTTGGTATGCTCTGGGCAACTTTTGAGGGCCCAAAAAATAAATCTTATTGACACTTCTGATTTCTGTGTAGTTGAAGGAATTTGCCAACTTTGACTTTGATGTCTGGAGGAAAAAGTATATGCGTTGGATGAATCACAAAAAGTCTCGAGTGATGGATTTCTTCCGGCGCATTGATAAGGACCAGGATGGGAAGATAACACGTCAGGAGTTTATCGATGGCATTTTAGCATCCAGTGAGTCTAGTCATCATCCCAAACATGGGTCACGCCTGGATTCCTTGCACTTTGTAGAAGCTGTGATATTCTAGCTAAACAATCTTTCTGAAGCTGGCCAGGAGCTATGGCTCACACCTGTAATTTCAGCACTTTGGGAGGCAGGTGGCACAGGCATGGTGGCACACCTGTGGTCCTAGCTACTTGGGAGGCTGAGGTGAATCACCTGAGCCTGGGGAGGTCAAGGCTGCAGTAAACTGTAATCGTGCCATTGAAGTCCAGCCTGGGCAACAGAGTGAGACTCTGTCTCCAAAAAAAAAAGACAGTGGTTAACCAGAGGTTTTCAGCTGGGAAACAATATGATTCACACTTCCCTTTGTGTAGCAGTTTGTCAAGAATCTAAGACAGTAATCTAAGCATAGGAAAACTTCATACTATTAATTCCAAATTGTCACTATTCTGAAATAATCTAAATATTCAATAATTGTGGGGTGGGTAAGTATATTCTTGAGTGGTAGGTGTGTGGGTGGTTGTAATATTATGTTTATGCTTTTTGGTATATCTGAAATGTGGAATATTACTTTTTTTTCATTGCATTTGGTGTAGGGGGGCCTATAAGTGGATATGTATTACTTTTCAGGAAAAATCAAGACATAAATTTTTTTGCTCTTAAGTATTTATGGCCAGGAGTGGTGGCTCACACCTGTAATCCCAGCACTTTGGGAGGCCAAGACGGGTGGATCACTTGAGGCTGGGAGTTCAAGACCAGCCTGGCCAACATGGCAAAACCTCATCCTGCTAAAAACACACAAAAAATTAGCTGGGCCTGGTGGCAGGAACCTGTATTCCCAGCTCCTTGGGAAGCTGAGGCAGGAGAATCGCTTGAATCTGGGAGACGGAAGTTGCAGTGAGCTGAGATTGCACCACTGCACTCTGCCTGGGTGACAGAGCGAGACCTTGTCTCAAAAAAAAAAAAAAAGGTATTTCTCTAACTGCTAACCAAACAAGTAAGCCCTCTTTTAAGTTTCAAAATATGATTCCTTTCCTCCAGAGTTCCCCACCACCAAGTTAGAAATGACTGCTGTGGCTGACATTTTTGACCGAGATGGGGATGGTTACATTGATTATTATGAATTTGTGGCTGCTCTTCATCCCAACAAGGATGCGTATCGACCAACAACCGATGCAGATAAAATTGAAGATGAGGTAAGGGAAATAATTATATTTTGAGTATACTTCTGGCTATAGGTTTATAATATCCTGAATTTGGTTGGGTTCAATGATCATATTAGCCTTTGACTTGTCTGTTGGGAGATAATTATTTGGAGTTCTATTTTGAGATCTCTTTTTAGATAGCATTTCAAAGAGTCCCAGAGGATCTCTGACATCTGAGCTCTAGCTCAGGCTAGATAGATTACTCAAGTGAGTCATGTCTGTGTGGTGCTCTGAAGTTTACAGAGAACCTTTGCAGGGTACCATACTCATCCTCGTTCACTTGTCCTGTGTTTTGGGATAGACTCATCTTACTCCTGAGCATGCTACCTGGAATCTAGGGAAATGGTGTACCAGTGTAGCATTTAAGGGTTATTTAAGGGTTGAAATGAACTGAGCATGGTGGCTTACATCTGTAGCCCCAGCACATTGGGAGGTCAACATGGGAGGATCACTGGAGCCCAGGAGTTCGAGACCAGCCTGGGCAACATAGTATGATTCTGTCTGTCCCCCGCAAAAAAAAAAAATTAGGCAGGTATAGTGGCAAGTGCTTATAGCCCCAGCTACTCAGGAGACAGGTGGAAGAATGACTTGAGCATGGGAGGTCAAAGATGCAGTGAGCTGTGATCATGCCACTACACTCCAGCCTGGGCAACAGAGCAAGACTTGTCTCAAAAAAATAAATGTTTAAAAGGGGGGTAAAATGTAATGTTTAAAATGGTGTATGCCCATCATGCTTTCTGCCTTGTTAAAAACTACCACACTGGGCCAGGCGCAGTGGCTCACGCCTGTAATCCCAGCACTTTGGGAGGCCGAGGCGGGCGGATCACAAGGTCAGCAGATCGAGACCATCCTGACGAACATGGTGAAACCCTGCCTCTACTAAAAAATACAAAAAAAATAGCCGGGCGTGGTGGCAGGTGCCTGTAGTCCCAGCTTCTAGGGAGGCTGAGGCAGGAGAATGGCATTAACTCGGGAGGCGGCGGAGCTTGCAGTGAGCGGAGATCGTGCCACTGCACTCCAGCCTGGGCGACAGAGCGAGACTCTGTCTCAAAAAAAAAAAAAAAAAAAAAAAAACTACCACACTGAAACTACCAAATTGATTAGTGCCATCTGGAAATCCTAGCATCTGTTGATAACAGATCTTGGGAAGGGAGAGGTGCTGGAATAGGTCTTAGGAGTGGCCCTGGAACACACCAGGACTTCCAGGGAATCTCAGTCTCCTCGGGTGAAATTTAAAGCAGTTCATAATTTGCTTTATTAATAATTTGATTTTGATGTCAGCATATTAGCAATTTTCTCTGAAGGAATTTTGAAGCAGGAATAAAGAATGTGTTATATAGTCACTTGGGAATTTCTTTCATGCCTTTTCTTTCTCAGTGTCTCAATTAGTTCACTTAGTAAGAACATATACTAATTTGGAACAGATGATAAATGCATATGTCAGAAACCTGAAATACCTAAAAAGTAAATAATGAGCTGGGCGCGGTGGCTTATGCCTGTAATCCCAGCACTTTGGGAGGCTGAGGCAGGCAGATCACCTGAGGTTCAAGGCCAGCCTGACCAACATGGAGAAAGCATCTCTCTACTAAAAAAATACAAAAAATTAGCTGGGCCTACCTATAATCCCAGCCACTCGGGAGGCTGAGGTAGGAGAATTGTTTGAACCCAGGAGGCGGAGGTTGCAGTGAAGCTGAGATCGCGCCATTGCCCTCCAGCCTGGGCAACAAGAGCGAAACTCCATCTCAAAAAGAAAAAAAAAAAGTAAATATTGAATAGCCTCCCTGCTTATATGTAAAAATCTTTGTTTCTCTAAATAGGAAGTCTTACTGTACCCTTTACACTTTTCTTTTTGTTCACAACCAATAGGTTACAAGACAAGTGGCTCAGTGCAAATGTGCAAAAAGGTTTCAGGTGGAGCAGATCGGAGAGAATAAATACCGGGTAAGGAAGAGAAAAACCAATACTTTGTGGTGGTGGTTTCTCATATGTGGCTGATCCCACCTTTTCCTCCTGTTGCTTAGAGTCCCAGAGCCCATCAGACTTGAGATGTGGTCACTCTCTGACCTCATCTCTACAGATGCCAAGTGTCAGGTACCCTGTTCCATCTGAAAACTAGTCCATATCTACTTAGATAGTAGTAGTTTGTATTTGAGTTTTAAGATAGGAGATATTTCAGAGCTGTCACTTCACATCTGATAAAGTCTTTAGGGGGATGAAGGTACCTTTGGAAACAATTATATCTAATGACTGACCACTTACCCCCAAAGAGATGGTCATTGTGAGCCTGAGTGGCTCCCAGGCTAGAGAGGCCTGGGGAAACTGTGTTGAAGCCCCAACAGATACTGTGCCTGCTCTGGGCTGGGCTACAAATGGGTCCCAGGAGCCCTGAGGAGACATCAGGCTCAGTGGTCTTCTCTGGAAAGCCATGCTAGGTGTGGCGATAACTGACAGTGAACTATACTTGTGTTTTAGCTTCTTTTGGGACCAGGGTCAGGGACGTAGAAGAATCTGAAACAGGTCTCCTAAAATATATCAACAGCTCATCAGGATTCTCTAAAGTCCTAAGAAAAATCTCTGATTGGCAAAGAGGATTTAGATTGCACTAAGAAACACAGGAAGATCCATGTTTCATTAGTATATCCAAAATGTCCTCAAAGTACATCACATCCACCCCATGCTACCGTTTCCTGAGGAGCACTGGGTGAATCTGCCTTAAATATAACCTAGGGCATTTAGTTAATAAAGCTCCAGGTGATCTTATGCCTGCTTGTTGGGTTTTGTTTTCTTGTTTTTTGTTTTTAATTATTAGAGAAATAAATTAACAAGAACAACATAGAGTGGAGAGTTAGTTCATAGTTTATAAAACCACATCCCTGGCCAGGCATGGTGGCTCACACTTGTAATCCCAGAACTTTGGGAGGTAGGGGCGAGTGAGCAGATTACTTGAGGTCAGGAATTCAAGACCAGCCTGGCCAACATGGTGAAACACCGTCTCTACTAATAACACAAAAATTAGCTCGGCTTGGTAGTGCACGCCTGTAATCCCAACTACTAAGGAGGCTGAGGCAGGAGAATTGCTTGAACACCAGGGTTGGAGGTTACAGTGAGCCGCGATCACGCCACTGCACTCCAGCCTGGGCAACAGAGCGAGACTCTCAAAAAAAAAAAAAATTAAAATTAAAACCACATCCCTATGGCAGGAGCTTGATAAGAATATGTTCGGTGTGTGTCACTTTGACAGAAGAACATAATGATATGATTTTCATTCCTTAGTGTTAATTTGACAAAATGTTCTCTTTTTTTTTCCCCTCCTTTTCCTCCATCCTTTACTCTTACTGTCTATAGTTCTTCCTCGGCAATCAGGTACAGTGTGCCTTGCAATGTTCTCCTTCTCAATGGATATGGTCTGTGTAGCTAATGCTGCCTGTTCTTCGCTATGGGGAGAGGATGTACTCTGAAGCATGCCTGGGTCACACCTGGTTGTCTTACCAAGTGGAGAAACTGCTGATGAGGCCAGCATTGCAAAGCTGTCTCAGCAGCAAAAGAATATAAGTATAATTTTTTTATAAAGGAGATGAAGTGGAGGAAACTGAAGCTATGGTATCAATCCATTCCACTTCTAAAAAGAGAATGGTTTTGTACTTCTGTGTTAGAAGTCAGGTTACCAAACAGCACAGTTCTTATTTATGTTAGAATCTTTTGACAGTTAATAAATTTTGTAATGTATGGTAAGTCAATTCCCGAAGAACTTCAGTACTGTTTAAATATGTTTTTAATATTTCTAGTTACTTATATTGCATTTTATAATTACAAGGTACCTGAGAAGTGTAGTGTGGAGATCATAACTGGCCGTGGCCTGAAGTATGCTGATGATGGCCAGCCATCCAAGATTTAATGGGACCAAATTAGACTTGCAAAAAAGATTGGATGCTTTGACTCCACTTGGTAACTCTAACCTTTCAGATCTTTTTGAGTGCTGTGGGGTCCTGTGTCCTCCAATGTGGAAGGAAGTTGCATGAGTAAAACCTGTCTCTCTGATATGAAATTATAAACCCTAAGAGTTGATTTGAGGCCCTCAAACATCCCAGGCCTTGCAAGTCACTATAGAAATGTTCTAGGCAAGTGAGAAGAATAGGGGATAAGAGAAAAAAACTAAAGATGAGAACAAACTGACTTTAAAAAAAAAATCATTGCTTGAGAGTGTCCAATATGCCTATATGCTGGTGACTGTGTGTGAATGCTAGGGTGCCTTTGAAGAGGGTGCCGACACCCTCTTCTAGTGCTCCATTGACCTGGGGAGGGTCAGGTGAGTTCTAATGTTGGGAACGGAATTATGAAGTTCATTTTATACACAGGCACCTGAGGCCTCAAAGATCACATGCCTACTCTCACACAGCTAATGTCAGCCACTGCAAGAACTCAAGTCCCTGTAAGGGGTTTTCCTTTTGAAAGGTGGAAACAAAGTTACTGACCCTTAGGACTCTTATTCTGAGTTCTTTGCCTCACTGACAACCCTGTCCTACCAGGTGTGCACAGGTCTCCATTTTTAGAGCTGCCATGATCCCTCCCACCACTCGTGACTCTGGCCTCAACCTCCCCAGCTACAGTGGCTGCTGGCTTGGTTAAACCTCCTTTCCCCCATAACTTAGCAGAAACAAGTTAGAATCTTTCAAAGAGAGCTTTAGTGAGAAATTAAGTTGGGGGGGACATGAAATAAATGGAGTGATAAATTATAGTACACAGTATTCCAAGAATAAAGTACTCCCGGGCTTCCTTCCTGATTCACCCTGGGGCACAGGCGCATACTCCCTGCCTCTCACCCATCCAGAGAAAACCCTTTGCAGTGATTCAGGCCAGCACTGCTCTTGGGTGGAATCCTCCATGTCTCAGAACCTCCCACAGGGCTTCCCATTTTCACTTGTGGGGCCCAACTTCTGGGAGGGGGGCTCTCACAGAGTCTGGGGGGGCAACTTCCTTCCCAAGACAGGAGGTGTATTCTCTTTCAAGTCTGGGTTCAGTGCTGCTGCTACCACACAGTGGTTTTGCTGTAGTCACTTTGTATAAACATGTTTAAATTGTATCAGATGAGAGGTGTGGGACTACTTTTATTTTCAAAGTAAAGGGCTGGGAGGGAGGATACGGTATTTTTCAATCGCCTTGCCCATGCAAATAGTGCATTTGAGTCAGAGCAGCTAAGGAATATAGAGAACTACCACAAATATATTAATTTTGAGGGAGGAAGGCTATATGACCTCAGATATCCTTTCTTGCATTTTCAATTTTTCTGCCTTGTTTTAAAGTTAGAGTTGTCCTTTATAACATTGAAAATCCTACCACCTCCATACCTGAGGAACCCCTGAATTAAATAATTTTAGGAATTCCATTTCTCCAACCAAATGTTTGTTTGTTTTGGAAACTCTGCATACTTCTCTTTTGTTGCTCCTTACTTCATTTTGGAAAGAGGATAATTTATGCCATGAGAAACTCCAAATGTTTAGAGCTGGGAAGTAGGAATGTTTGGGCAAGAAAAAAGGGAAAACATAAATAATCAGAAATGCTTGTTTTAGCATCTAAAATGATTATTGGATACTGTTTATAATCATCGTGGGAGCTGCAATTTTTCATTGCTTCAACTCAATTTTAGTATAAATATGACCTAATCATTTGTTCAGCTGAAGAAACTTTTCTTCTGGTGACATTGCAATTAGCAAATACTTCGGGTTTATTTCTGAAAACCTGATGCAGAAAATCAAATTTTCTTCTAAGCTTGTAATAATGATGCTTTGCAAAGGTTTCCTTAAGGCTTGAAATAGTATTTGCTATTTTCCATTTAGCTTTAAAGCATACTGTATTCAGAAGTTGACATCCACCATCTTTCTTTTAGGAAAACAAATTAGCATACCAAGAATATGAATTTTTAATTGGGCAGAATCTCTTTTAAAAAAATCAAATGACCTAACACTTTGTCCGCCTTCCTACCTCTCCTTTTGGTGCAGAGGCAGTGGTGTGACCATTAAAAGTTAATTTTATCCCAATAGAAAGTATATTGGCTGGGTGCAGTGTCTCATGCCTATAATCCCAGCCCTTTGGGAGGCTGAGGCTGGCAAATCACAAGGTTAGGAGTTCGAGACCAGCCTGACAAACATGGTGAAACTCTGTCTCTACTAATAACATAAAAATTAGCTGGGCGTGGTGGCACACGCCTAATAAACCCAGCTACTTGGGAGGCTGAGGCAGGAGAATCGCTTGAACCTGGGAGGCAGAGGTTGCAGTAAGCCGAGATCACGCCATTGTACTCCAGCCTGGGCAACAAGAATGAAACTCTGTCTCACAAAGAAAAAAGTATATCAAGACACCAGTCTTCAGGTTGATATTTCTGCTTTTCTATTTTTAAAATCCTTTTGTGAAATATATAAAAATGCAAAATTGTGAGAGTTAAAAATTGTCCCGTAGCTATCAAATTGTCATTCCTGTCTGAATACAGTCTGCTTTGGGAGAAAAATACAGATCTACTTTAAGACATATATATTAATTAAATTTCCTTTTGATTCTACAGTTTGGGGATTCTCAGCAGTTGCGGCTGGTCCGTATTCTGCGCAGCACCGTGATGGTCCGCGTTGGTGGAGGATGGATGGCCTTGGATGAATTTTTAGTGAAAAATGATCCCTGCCGAGGTAAGGAACCATTCTGAGCATGAATTACGTGTTAGCTATGCCCCCAGCAGTGATCTTTTATTACAGGAAGCACTGATGGTGGGGTCTGTCTGTTTTTATTTTGTTAAGCTGCCCGGGTGTCATCCCACTAGCACAGATTAGAACTCAGGGGTGCCAGCATAGGCCAGGGAGAAAAAGCTGAAGAGGTTGATGCCGTTTGGGGAGGTAGGTCTAGAGGAATGCAGTAATGAGAATTAAGAATGTATTGGTGTTACTTGAATGTTTCAGTTTGGGGTATTAAATTAACACTATCCTAGAAAGGAGCCTGGTGAAGCCCTTTAGGTTCCCTCTTAGTGCCTCAGATCCCTTTGCCTGTAATTCCTGTGACTGACACTCAGGGAGGGTGTTAGGCCCTTCTCATCCAGGGAAGAACTGGTGAGCCCCCTAGACCAGGAGGGAGGATGAAGACACCTACGTGTAAGCCCATTCACTTGTAAGGCAGGTGGCCACCTAAGCAACACCATAGGTTGTCTTTCTATTAAATGTGAAAAGGCTGGCCCACCAGCCCAGAAGCATAAGGAAACTGTCAATTTAATGAGTGGTGGCACCTGCAGCTAGCGGGTGTGTGGGAACTGCAACAGGGAAGAGATGACCAATTCCAATTGCTAAATCCTCTTCAGCTGTGTCCTTTTTCCTGTTAGCAGAGCTGCATGTGGGTGCACAAGAGGCTCCCCCACTGTCTGCCAATTTGTCTTTCTTGACTAGTTTCTGCGTTTCCTGCCCTGTCTCTGTTTCTTTGTGTTTACATATTTTTTATTCTAGTTCACCATCCTGGGAGTAAAATAAAGCGCTCTGATTCCAGCTCTTCGATTTCCAGTCAGTCTCCCATAGGTTGGCTTTTAAGCTTTGTCCCTCTTCCTCACACCCTAGCCCATTGAGAATGGCTTTGCTTCTTAAACTGTAACATCTCTTGGTTCTGTGTATCTGCTGCATTCATGAATGCTTGAAATGGCCAAACCATAGCTTTTCTAACTACTCAAGTTGATGGTGCATAAAATACTGTTGAGACTGTTCATGGAATTTGTTTTGAGTTTCTATTTAACAAATACTTGCATAGTTTTATGTGCCACAGACTGTTACAAGTACTTTACAAGTAACACATTTATGCCTCATATGAGGTGTAGATGCTTTTATCTGTGTTTTACAGAATAGGAAATTGAGGCATAGAAAACATAAATATTTTGCCCAAAGACAACAACTAGTAAATGGCAGAGATGAGATTCAAATTCAGGGCAATCAGAGTCTAGAGTATGTGCCCCTAGCCAGCATGTTACATGTTTCAGAGACTGACACACCTTTGTGTGTGTTTATTATTGGATCAGCCTGCATAATTATTAAGGTTTATTTATAAACCTAGCAGAAATGTTTACTGTACAGTACATAACTTCTTTGGAAATGATTTATAGTCATATTCTGAAGCATTGAGTGAGGACAGAGCTAAACACAGCAGTTTTCACATGAATTCAGTTATGCCCATAAGTAGTTCCTCTTATTTTAATTCATTTGTGTTTACTACAGTAAACCAGAGTAAAAGTTCAGCAGTAATAATTTTCATTAGATGTTCCTTTTTTAAAAAAAATGGGGGCCAGGTACAGTGGAATCCCAGTAGGTTGGGAGCCTGAGGCAGGAGGATTGCTGGAGCTCAGGAGTTCAAGACCAACCTGGGCAACATAGTAAAACCCCGTCTCCAAAAAAAAATTTTTTTTAATTAGCTAAGCATGGTGGTATACACCTGTGTAGTCCTAGCTACTCTGGAGGCTGAGGTGGGAGTATTGCTTGAGCCTAGGAATTCAAAGCTACAGTGAGCCATGATCGTGCCACTGCACTCCAGCCTGGGCAACAGGGCAAGACTCTGTCTACAAAAAATTAACTTTGAAAACACTTTCTGATAAAAACTTGAAAGTATTTAGTTTTAGAATTTAAAAGTCGTCTTTTATTGCTTTAATGAGAAACAATATATGCCATTTTTAACTCAGTAAAACAACTTTATTCCTTTTCAAATCTATGAATAAGGTCCATTTTTCCTGTCATGTATGATGGGACTAAATAAAAGATATATTGCATGTGGCATTTTGGAATCCTTGATTGCCGTTTCTTTGCTGCCTGCTCTGTTTGTGATAACATCATGCTGCTGGCCCAGGAGAACACTGCTTGCTTTGTCCTTATCTTAGTATCTGAAATTTGGAATCCCAAGGAAATTGGGGAGGGCCATCTAGAAGCTATTTTCTATGAAAGCTAGTCACCTTTTTTAGCATCCCTTGGAGCAAACAAGGTAAGACTTTCCTGTGTCTCTCCAGGAGTGCTCTCCTGGAACTCAGTAATCATCTCAATCCATTGGCTGTGGAGAGAACTCTCCAGAAGTTTTAAATTTCATAACTTTATTAGCGATGGGCAGGATGTGCTATCTTCAATCAAATAAAAAATGGTTCTAGGCAATGAACACCTAAGGACTAGGATGGATTATAATAAGGTAGAAGGGTGTGAAGGTTGAGAAGAGAACAAAGTTATTTGAAAAACTGTATTGGAAGTTCTATAAGGATTAATATGACTTCTGGAAACACTGCTTACAGTAGGTTTTGTACTCATTGATGTTGCATATTTCCTTGGGTCTCTGGACCACAGAGAATGCTATACTGAGGACAGTACAAAGTGCGTGACAAGGTTCTTAACACCAGTGTGCACTATCATTTCTTACCTCCCTTTACACAGCTATTTTAAAAGGTAGAACGTATCTCAAACTGCATATTGCTTTAGTCATGTGTAAAAAAATGAAAATATTTTGCTAGCTAGATTTGCCAATCTCCTGGTACTGTGAAAATCAGATATTTCAGTTTCTGAATTTATCCATGGCGCAGGAAATCATGATGTTTTGGATGGAGAGAAAACCAGTGCTCCTGCCTAGATAATAGGTATACCTGTACCTAAGGTACTGTGTATGTTTTTGATCATTAGACATATTAGCTCCCCCAGATAAGTGAAGATCTAAGAAATTTCATTTATGAAGATTTAAAAGACACATTTTGGCATAGAACTGATTTTTTTCAGATTGTTATACAAATAACATAAAATTTACCACCCTAACCATTTTTAAGTACAAGACTGAGTACATTTGTGTCGTACTACCGTCACCACCATCCACCCACAGAAGTCTCTTTGTCTTATAAAACTGAAACCCTATAGCCGTTAAACAATAGGTTAGAACTGAATTTTAACATGCCCGCACCAGCCAATATCAGGTGGCCAGCATAACTCCCTTAGCAAAGACAGCCTCTTTGATGGTTGATGAACTGAGCTTGAGATGGCTGCCATCATGGTCTGGTTCTGCAGGTTCAATGGTAGATCTTTTCTCCAGTGAAAAGAATGGTGAGGGGGAAAATCCTATCACAGTAGTCAACCAAGTACTAGGTATCTTCTCTTTTTTTTAACTTTATAATACCCAATGTTAGGAAAATATTTGAATCAATGTAAACATTAAAAGTACCTTTACTACTAAATTCAAGTGCTGGGACATAAATTTTGCTTAATTAGAATTTGGTGTTTCCTTCTAGTTTGAGAAAAATGTTTACTTTCTACTTTTGGGATTGCCCCAGAAATCAGTTTTCACAGCTTCCGTTTATTGTTTGTTGTCGCCTCCTCCCATCCCAGCCTTTCTAGCTTATCAAAGTATTGCCCTCTTAACACCTTTTTTAATTCTTAAAATTGGCCGCTTTTAAGTTTATTTCTGAAGAAATAGCTTTCATTTCTTCCAAGTGGTGTATATAAAATGTTCCTTACCAAGAATCGTTTCATTGCCTTGCATCTTCAAATATTTTCTTTTAAAATGCAAATATCTTGGCCAGGCGCGGTGACTCACGCCTGTAATCCCAGCACTTTGGGAGGCCAAGACGGGCGGATCACAAGGTCAGGAGATCGAGACCATCTGGCTAACACGGTGAAACCCCGTCTCTACTAAAATACAAAAAATATTAGCCGGGCGTGGTGGCGGGCACCTGTAGTCCCAGCTACTCCGGAGGCTGAGGCAGGAGAATGGCGTGAACCCGGGAGGTGGAGCTTGCAGTGAGCCGAGATAGTGCCACTGCACTCCAGCCTGGGCGACAGAGCAAGACTCCGTCTCAAAACAAAAACAAAAATAAAATGCAAATATCCATGTGAGTTATAGCATATTAAGCTAATATTAGCTAGGCATGGCTTAGCATAAATTAATTATTCATTGGTCTCTTGACCGAGATGAGAACACCAGAAATATGGGAATTTTACTGTTGTGAGCTTAAGAGCATAAAGACCAAGAAGATGGAAATTACAGAGAGAGGAAGGAAAATAAAAGGGAGAAGACAAGACTCTAAAACCCCAATTTAAGTAAGCCATTATTTTTATTTTTCACTTGAATTTAGAACTTACTTTTTTTTTTTTTTTTGGAGACAGAGTCTTGCTGTGTCACCCAGGCTGGAGTGCAGTGGCACAGTCTCGGCTCACTGCAAGCTCCGCCTCCCAGGTTCACACCATTCTGCTGCCTCAGCCTCCCCAGCACTGGGACTATAGGCGCCCACCGCCACACCCGGCTAGTTTTTTTGTATTTTTAGTAGAGACGGGGTTTCACCGTGATAGCCAGGATGATCTGGATCTGACCTCGTGATCCGCTGGCCTCGGCCTCCCAAAGTGCTGGGATTACAGGCGTGAGCCGCTGCACCTGGCAAGTTTAGACCTTCTAAATGAGGCATCATGGAAACGTGCAGGAGCTAGCTAACCACTGTTTACAGTCTCAGATTACCTTAATGCCTATATTGCGTGCCTTTGGCATGGCTGTAGTAACCTGGAAGGATGACGATAGGGAATTATTCACACATCTTTGCATCTCTAGCCAGTGAAATACTATACCAAGAGGTGACCATTGACTAGAGATTTCCCTGTGAAAACAGGGACTGTCTCGTTATGTTTATTTGTTTCGTTATGATGTGTAAGCG